AAAAAGGATTCAGTTTGGGTGATTGTTGACAGACTTACAAAGTCAGCTCACTTCATTCTTGTGCGAGTAAATTATACTTTGGACAAGCTGGCGAGATTGTATATTTCATAGATTGCCAGATTGCATGGTGTTCCATTGTCTATTATTTCTGATCGAAATCCGAGATTTACTTTGAGATTTTGGAAGGCGCTACATATGGATTTGGGAACAAGATTGGATTATAGTACATCATTTCACCCACAAACTGATGGTCAATCTGAGAGAGTGATTCAGATTCTGGAGGATATGTTGCGGGGTTGCGTAATTGATTTCAGGGTAGCTGGAGAACTTTTGTCATTGGCTGAATTTGCTTACAATAACAGTTATCAGACCAGCATTCGTATAGAACCCTACGAAGCACTCTATGGGTGTAAATTTCGCACTCCGATATGTTGGACTGAGTTGCGTGACCGGAAGACGTTGGGACCTGAGTTAGTACGTGAGACGGAGGACACAGTCAAATTGATTCGTGACCGTCTGAAAGAGGCATTTGATAGACAGAAGTCTTATGCAGATCAAAGGAGAAAAGATATTCAGTTTGATGTTGGAGATCATGTCTTTTTAAAAGTATCACCCTGGAAGAAAGTATTGAGATTTGGGCGTAAGGGTAAATTAAGTCCAAGATTTATTGGACCATTTCGTATCTTGAAGAGAGTAGGACCTGTTGCATATCAGCTTGAGTTGCCTCCCCAGCTCAGTTGTATTCATGATGTCTTTCATGTATCAATGTTGAGATGATATCGTCCAGATTCAGGTCACATCATTCAGGTTGAAGAGGTAGAGTTGAGACCTGATTTCTCATATGAGGAGGAGCCCGTTCAAATCTTAGAAAGAGATGAGAGACTTCTTCGGAATAGACATATTCCAATGGTAAAAGTTCAATGGAGTAACCAAGGCCCCTCTGAAGCTACTTGGGAGACATTGGAGTCAATGGAGGCTTAGTTTCCTCAACTATTCTCATAAGGTAAATTTCGAGGACGAGATTTCTTGTGGAGGGGGAGAATTGTAACAACCCGAAAAAAAATATTTAAATCGGTGTAATTTGGTGACTAAATTAAAAGTTTTTAAAACTTGTAGGCCATTTTAAAAGTGAAGGAAATTCAGGGACCAAGCCCTGAATTTACCCAGGAAGTGTCGGTAGACTTGTCTATTAAACGTGTTTTTTGATTTCAATCAGAAAACACAAATGTTTAATTTACTAAGTTTTCCTCCTCCCGCACCCCTACTTTCAAGTCTGATTCTAAAGTCGTCCGACCTCCGATCGTCAAATTGAAACCACCATCGTGTTCATCTTTGACTCGTGAACAAAGCCCAGTAAACCAATTATAGCGAAACGCTGCCAAACGCCGTGAATTTTGAGTCAAAGTCTCGACGTTGTTTTAGCACCACCGCTGAGAAAATCACAAATTCATCTCTGATTGTTGATCCGTTTTCGACACCTCCCGCACCATCGTGTTCCTTGCATCGTTCCGAGTCCACCGGTGTTCACCGTTTCTCCATCGTCGTCGGCGAGTGGAGGGGTGAAGCGGTCAAAGTTTCGGATTTGTTGAAATCGAGCTCTCCACCGTTCAAAATTTTGAACCAAGCTTTGTAAGTATCTCAAGATCGCTTAAAATAATTTTTGAAAATTTTTCGAGAATTTTTAGGACACCGGGGAGTTTCAAAACAGTGGTTGACCAGTTTGGGTATTAGTTTTGTAAATATTTTTAAAAGGTGGCTAGATTTGTAATTAATTGTTGTTAGGTGATATTTTGGGAATTATTTTGAAAAAGGTGATATTTTGGGAATTATTTCGAAAAATGATATTCTGGGAATTATTTCGAAAAGGTGATATTTTGGGAATTATGTCGAAAAAGGTGATAGTTTGGGAATTATTTCGAAAAAGGTGTTATTTTCGTAATAGTTGACTGTGGACTTTTGAGAACCTTTGATCAAAACTTTGACCAGCTTTAAACGTCCATTAAACGACCTTTGATTTTGTTCGAGTATACCTATTCTGACATTTTTCGATGTGCCGAATCGGTTTCCGAAGTCTGTTTTGCCAAATTTGAACCCGAAGGCCTCCAAATCATCAGTCAAACCCATTGACTTTGATTTTGACCAAGAATTTGAATTTTCGAAAAGTCATACTTTATGTTTTTCGACGTCTTGATTCCGATTCCGCAATCCGTTTGGTTAAATTCAGACTCGAAATCCTCTAAATTGATTGTCAAACCCAGAAAGTGCTTATATACTTAAGAATTTTAGCTTTGATCAATTAAGTAAGACTTGGAGTTGATAAATTATTATTGTTTGAAGGTACAAGAGACTCTCCGGATCGTTCGACAGCTCGACCCAGCTCTTCTAGATCAGTTAAACCACGTGTGCCAGTATTCACCCGTAAGACCCATAAATTTTATGATTTTAGAGATTAATTATGTTACCCATTAGTAATATAGTGTTATTATAAATTAGGTTCGAAAATTTTAGCAGAGCGTGGTGAGACCAGCAATCAGTAGATCTACTATTTGAACCTATTATCGAGGTGTGTTCCCTATTTATTATTGAACTGTTTTATTTGTTTTAATATGTGGTACACTAAATTCTTTGGTTACTGTTTTATTGATGCACCGATTTAATGTGATGGTTTATGGATTATGACCGCTATCTGATTTTGTTTTGAAATGGTATATGATTACCATGTTTATGGATTTATGGAATTTATGTCACGGTGCAATTAAATTTTTGGAATACGAATTTATAAAGTACAGCCCTGATCAAGCTGGAAAATGTTACGGACCTAATGTGACTCTTAGGTATGCTCTGCGGCCTTGAGATCATTCTCGGGTAGGCCCTGCAGCCCTAAGATGTGTTCTTAGGTAGGCCCCACGGCCCCGAAATCTATCTTGGGTAGGCTCTCAGGCCCTAAGATGTTCCCTTAGGATAACTCTTTTATGAGATTTACTGGACTATAATTTGTTTAGTGTACCTATCATGATTTTATAGTAATGTTGGGACACATTGAGTCTAGCTCACTTTTCGAAAATGTTTTCCCCTTTCAGATACTGTTGGTTAGATTCACCTGATTGAGCACTTGGAGGATAAACATATCTCTTGAAGTATATCGTATTGTAATGTTTTATCTTTTAAGTTGACACTATTTTGGTAACATAGGCCTTATTTTAAAGTATTGGATTTTATAATGATTTCTCCTTTGCTATTTATATTTGGGTTATCGTAAATTTGGATTTTTAAGACATGTTTAAATTAATTTGTTTTTTTTTCTTCATTATATTTATGAGATGTATTTTTATAGTATAAACTAATATAATTTCATAAATTTCATTTATAATGTGATTTCACAATGATTGAATAATGGTTTCGGAATAATATCTTTAAGAATCATGAATGTGATTCACTAGACTTAGTCGAAACGCATAGACCGAGTCTAGGGGGTTACATAAGTTCTCGTACAAGATCTCCATAATCATCTATAATCTTCATCAATGTCTTGTTCTTTGCTCTAGTGGCTTCTATCTCATCATCATTCTCTCGATTGTGGCGCTGATATGAAGTTTCCATATTGGATATGGACATATTCACTATCTAATTTTTGGCTTGACATTTTCCCAAATAATTAACTGATGTATTGTTCCTTTTTTCTGTAATCTGTAAATCATACTAGAACTTCTTAGCTCAACCCTCCTGCACCTTGTAATTCTTTCTCCATTGCTCATCATCGTTTCCAGTTTAGTGACCCCTTTTGCCCACTCCTCTGGGGCATTTCCTATACCAGTATTTTTAAAGCCTTAAGTGGTCCTTTGTAAACCCTCATGCATGGATTCCATCTCTCTATTGAGTTTATCATTTTTAAACCTCAAATGACGCACTTGAGCCTCGTACTTTAGCAAATATTCTTCCTCTTAGATTCCCCCATTGATACCCTTACCTTTGAACAATTTTGGCTTCATCTTAACAAGACAATTAGTTACCAAACTTGGTTGACCTTTTATCTCGAACTCCAATATTCCATGATCCAAAAGATGTTGGACCTGATGCTTAAAGGTGGTGCAATTCTCAATAGAATGAACTTGAGCTCCAACATGATATTCACAACGAACATTGACGTCATGCCAACTTGGATATGGAGGTTGCCAAGGTTTCACATAATGTGGCGCCACCTCTCAGGCTTCTTTCATACAAGTTGCTATATGATGCAGGGATAGAATCAAAATAAGAGCCACATCTCGGCTTAGATTGAATTAGAGTCTTCATGTTTATTTCCCCTAACATTTGGAGTAGACTCAAATACCAACGAGTTTGGATTACATGGCTTCTTTTCATCTTTCTAAACTTCTACAGTTGTCACCATTTCCTTTGTGTCTCTGGACAACTTGTTGATACAGATGATGATTGTGCGAGATTTCTCATATCGGCTAGAATCGGCTTGTTCTTAAGTCATCCCTTGTGTATTTTACATCGCGAGATTGTTTTCATCGAGCTCTTTCTTTTCTTTTGCAGAAGTTTCTTTTCCTTTGGCCAAAGAAGCTATTCTATCCATCATCTTATACATTTGCTCCCTCATGTCTGTTATCTCCATTTTCTCTTCGTCAGACATACGATCTTTGGGTGCATAGCTCTCCACTATTATTGGGGCTTCCTCAAGATGTCGTTCCCTAGCTGTGTTATATTCTACTTGATCATGAACCATTTGTCTATCATGAAAACCTTTTACTCTGATGACCACTCACAAATCAACACCTATGAAAAGTGTTATGATCATGCGATCCAAGCAAAAAGAAAAGCAATGTAAAAACAAGTTATTACAAATAAGATAACGAAATAGAAAGAATTATTATAAAAACAATAATGACAAAATAAATATATTAATGAGTTGATGCAAAACAAGAATGCAAATGCAAATGCACGGGGTGTTAATTCTAAAAGCGACCACCATAGAACAATCTTCATCAGACCAAAAAATTTCCTTACACTAGACAGACGAGCTTCATTTTTTTCATTTACACTAGACAGACAAGCTTTGTTTTAATTCATCTACTCTGATTGTTTGATCTCTAGACCTCCATTTCTATGAGATTCTCCGCTAGGAAAGTGGCCTTGATATCTTATGAAGGATATTCTCAATCTTGACTCAACTAGCATCTGACTATTTGGTACAATCTCGATCTTTGTTCATTTAACAGGCATCTTCGATCGACTTTGAGCTCTTCTCTCGTCGATCAACTTTGTTTGTAAGTCATCGCTCTTACGGATTTGACTACCTAGTTATGAAACTCTTATGTCGATATTAAAACCTTCTAATTTGGCCAATCACTTGTGAATTAACACATTTTTTGGTTATGATGCGAAAATGCAAATGCAAACAAAAGAAAAAACTAAAGATAAAACAAAAGAAATTGTTTGTACCACTCGACTAGAAAAACAGAAAAAATATTTATGAAAAGACAATATCCTACCCAACATGGTATCTACCCTGACATACTTTTATAACAGTTCTACCCTGACATGTTTTCCACCCACATGTTTTGTTGAAGGTATAAATCCTAACCTCATTTTTCTAGTTCACATGCTTCGTACGAAAACATAAAACCTAATTGCTTACTCTTCTAGTTCTCATGCTTTTTTGCAAAATAAATAAATTTGAAGAAAGGATAGGGTGAGTTTCCCCTTTGTGACTTTTGAAGAACTACGACAGAATTTCGGTACAAAACGGGCAGAGTTTCTGTACAACTAAAAGGGTCCTCAAATTGTCCTTTACTAGTACCCCCTTGGGCCTGCCAGACCTTCGATCATCACCAATTATAGGCTTAAACGGTTCAAGTTCAATTTGAGAGGATGCATTTCCCTATGTCCATACAAAGAAACTCAATGTTTCACTCATAAACACAAGGTGTATGTACCCCAGAGGTTACTTACTAAAGCCCATGCAGAGAAAAATAATTTTTCTCACGTAAGAGTAGAGTTCACCCCTACTTAACGGGCCAGAACACAATTAGAAGGCTCTAAAAATTCAAATGGTTATAGCATGTGTAAAGGGGAACTCACAATCCTTTGCCTCTATCCAAAAACAAACTTAAAGAAAATGTCAGGAATCTGAAACGATGGAAATCACACATTAGTACCATTAATAAATAATAGTAAAAGATGTATGACATGATGCGATGCGAACAAAATAAAAGGATCAAAATTTAAATATCATTCAAATTTACCATTTTCAGCAAAAAACGTGACGTATAATCGATTACGGTCGGACTTTCTAACGTCCTCAAAAACATACTCCTTGTTAATTAAGGCGTGTTTTTATGGATTCTCTATACAAATGGTCATTACCATGTTTTTCCTTAAATTATATATTTAATATAAAATATAAAATATAATTACTCGAGTATAAAAAAGATACTATTTCGCACGAATTATTCTCGTAAACACACGCTTTGATTACATGAACTCTCCTCACAAAATAATATCTTAAAGATATGTATGATCGAATCTGACAAATTGTACTTAACATAAGTATATATATATAGTGTAAACAAAAAATTTATAAATAATAAATAGTAAAAGATAAATAATAACAAGTGATATGTATACATAGTATTTTAAATAAAATAATTCACAACAATCTTTGGATGAAAGGGTATTGCCCTTAATCCCCTTGTTTGAATTAAATCCTAATATGAAACATGGGCTGATTTAGAATTTAAACTAAGTCTAAATAGTGATCAATACGCAAACAGGGCCAAATCTAAGGACTTAGGGCATAAATAGCCATTCTCTCATGCATAGAGCAAATGACTAAAATGAAACAGAATCTAAATTATCAGGCATATATGGGTATTTAACCTAAGGCTAATAGTAAACGTCAAAGTGACTAAAATGCAAGCTTTGTAAATGGTGTACCCAAAATCAAACATTAACAAAATAGGCTATTGAACAACATGGTGATTAAAATACAAACGTAATGTAAATAAATGCTCAAAATAAAAGGATGGGAAATTCCATTTAGTGACTAAATAAAAAGGTTACAAAGCTAGAAAGACCCCAAAAGAGGTTTATCCAAGGGCTAAACGCTCACTCTTCCCTCCCAAAATGACGTTGTTTAGGCTCGGGTATATAAACCCAACCTATGGACAAAATCGCCTTGTTGTTTTTCATTTTTTTTTCATTTCACTCTTCTTTTCCAAAAAAAGAAATAAGAGCTCTCTCAACTCTCTCATCTTCACACCCCGTCAAAGGAGGCCAAAGGACTTTGGCCACCGTAGATCAGTGGTTCCAACCCCGACGTCCACCATGAAACAAACTCCCTAGGACCCTCAAAGCCCTAACCCAAAGTATTTTAGCCTAAAAGGCTCCTAACCTTCCCAAAATACCCTGAATATAACCCTAAATCCCTCTTTTCATGAACCCAATACCTCTCTTTCTAGATCTATAACACGTAAAGGGTTACCTTCAACAACGATTATCTTATACTCTAGTGATGACGATCGAGGGCTTTGAATGACGAGGATCTTTCTTTCTTTTCCCTTTTTCTTTTTGTGTTCTCTTGCTTCTCTCCAGTTTTTTTTTAGTTTTCAAAAAATCCTTTATCTCCCTTTGCTAACGTTTTTTTAAACTAAAGTGTTTTATATTTTGGTGTTGTCTTTATTTTCTTTGACTTTGCTTGTTACTTTTTCGTTTCCATGTTGGTGGTATGACCGAAAAGAGAACAATATCGGGAGACATTAATAAATGTGACGGTGACATGGGCAGAAGGACAGGGTAAAACATTTTACCTCGAGGTTTGTTTGTCTGCTTTCGTGGTGATCGACGGATTTATCGGCTATGGAAGCGGCGTCATATTGCCATAGGGAACCAGCAAGGAGCATCGGGGACTATTGGATAAAATTTAATCCAACGACGGTGGTGTGAACGGCGTGAGTGGATGATTATTAGGGTTTAGTAAACCTAATATAGGGTTAATCTGGATCATTGGATCAAATATGATCCAACGCTTGGGATACGGCTGTTGTAGATCCAAAAGGGTGAAAAACCCTAGCTCTCTCCTGGGCCAAATCTGGTTCGTTGATCTCACAAGAGATCCAACGGTGGAGGCTCCTTGGCAGTGGGTGGAATAAGGGAAACCCTAGGTTTTATGGTCTTCAGCTGCTGGGTTGTAATGTAAGTTTGGACCCGAATATGGACCTATTACCAAAAACTATAATAAAAATAATAATATTAAACAAATAATAATAATATTAAATAATAATATTATTATTAAATAATAATATTATTAAATAATAATAATAATAATAATAATAACCTAGACAAAATGTGAAAACAGTATGTAAACCATGTGTCATGCGTGTATGTTTGTACAAGTATTACATTTTCATAATTTTTTAGATGACGTATATTTATTTATTCATAAAAACATGGGCGAGGTTAAAAGTTCTCAAAGATCATACTTCTACTCAATTTTCGGTTGTTCGTATTAATTAGGCCAAGGTTGTTTAGTGAATAATTGAAAAAATGAGGTTTTAATTGTTTGAGGGCTTAAATGAAAAAGAATAGTAGTAAAGGCCTTATGAAGTAAATAAGTCAAGGGCATGATGGCCATTATTGGGTGTGGGTACCACTATGTAGGGAACTCATCACCTTTAAAAAAGGGTTGCAACATAAAAAGCATATACAACTTAAAATATGGAGCAGCTTGAAAAGTGATGCAACTTAAAATATAGAGCAACTTGAAAAAGTGGTGCAACCATAAAATAGGTTGCAACCTAAAATGGCAACCATAAAATATGTTGCTTGTTTGTTGAAAACAGTTATGCCATACATTTATTATTTCCTTAGACTTTGGTAAAAACTATTATATTTTTTGGCTTATGTGAAAAAGTGTGTGGGCAGAAAAAAATTATGAGAATTGAAAAAGATAGAGAAACTCACATTCGAGAGAAAACAAGAGGAGAAAAATCAATTTTTGTGAAGTTTACATAGCAGGATCAACTCTTCGGTCAGTGGTCCATCTGTGGTTTGATTAATATGATTTTTGGACAGAAGCTAAGCGACAAGGTGTTCTTGACTTTGTACGGTCGGATTTTTCATCCAAGTCTTGTAGCGTTGGAAATACCCCTTTTTAGCAGACTGCTTTTTGGTGATGCTCTCCCATTTTTCTCTCATTTTCTAAAGACTACTAGTTATTAACTTTGTTGAAGTTGTATGCTTGGTGTAGGTTGGATATTGTAGTCTTGTACTTGAACATTTGTTGATAGTGGAGCTTTTGATCGAACTCAAGAGTCTCATGGTTTTTACCCTTGATTTAAAGGGGTTTTCCACGTATAACTTGGTGTGTCGATTTATTTGTGTTGTGGTTGCATTATTTGATGTTTGGTTGGTTAGTATTGCTAGAGAACAAATATTTAGTGCTATCCTGTTAGCCATAATTATTGACAAGCATTATAGGGAGAGAAAGAATACTGGTTGTGCTTCCACTTTGTCTCGGTTGTTCAATTTCTTCCTCAACAAACTGGTATCATAACTTGGTTACTTTTTCAGATAATTATGGAAAGTAATACGATCAAGATGAATATTTTGAATGACACAAATTATCAACTTTGGTGGAATAAAATGAAAGACTTGTTGTTTGTGAAGGCTTTGCATCTTCCAATATTTCCTACTCAAAAAACTGATTGGAAAAGTGATGAGAAATGGGAATTTGAGCATCAACAAGTGTGTGGTTTTATTTGGTAATTTGTTGAAGAAAATGTTTACAATCACATTTATCAAGAGACATATGCTCACACATTGTGGGAGAAGCTTGTATGATTCGAGGTTGAGCAATAACAAGTTGTTTTTGCTGAAGAAAATGATGGCGTTGAAATATAAAGAAGGAACATCTACAACTGACCATGTTAGTGAATTTCAAAGTTTGATGAATTAGTTGCTTGGTATGGGTGTCAAATTTGATGATAAGATTTTAGGGTTTTGGTTGCTTACTACTCTACCAGACTCTTGAGAGACTTTTCTGGTCTCGCTCATTAATTATGCTTCACAGGGATTATTACTTTGGATTTGGCTAAGAGTGGTGTGTTGAATGAAGAGGTTAGAAGAAGATCTCAAGGTTTTACATCACAGTCCGAGGTATTGGTTGTCGAGAATAAGGGAGAAACAGAGAAAAAGATGGAAAGGGTAGAGATAAAAGCCGAAGAAAGTCAAGACCGAGATACAAGAATCTTGAGTGTCATCATTGTGGTAAGAAAGACTATATAAAAGAAATATTACTTCAAGTGGAAGAAAGAGAACAAAGGTGGTAGTTATAAATACGATCAGAAGGATGATGAAAAATTCGAGTGTGTTGCTATAGTTCATCGTGATGATCTATTGGTTATCTGTGATGAGAATTTTGTCAACCTAGCATGCGATGAGACTAGTTGGGTGATTGATATTGACGCTTCATTTCATGTCACGTTGAGGAGGGATTTCTTCACATCTTATACTCATGGTGATTTTAGGGTATTGAAGATGGGTAATGGCAGTTTGGTTCTGCTATTGGCTTGGGAGATGTTAGCTTGGTGAATAACAATGGTACAAATTTAACTCTCAAGGATTTCAGACATGAACCGAATATCTGTTTGAATTTGATATATGTAGGAAAGCTTGATGATGAAGGATTTTGTAACACCTTTAGTGAGGGGCAGTGGAAGCTCACTAAAGGCTCCTTGTTGTGGCTCGAGGAAAGAAGAGCTAAAATTTGTATTTGATGCAGGCTTTAACTTTTGGAGACACTGTGAATGTGACAGTGAATGACAGCTCAACTGAGTTGTGGCATAAAAGACTTATTCATATGAGTGAGAAGGGGCTTAATTGTTTAGCTAAGTAGAATCAA